TCAAATACAGTACTTAAAAAACATGGATAAGGGAAATGACGTCGCAATCATGCTTACCAACCCTATCGAGATGACAGGAGACGTAATGTTCGGTTTGAAATTCTCCGAATTGAGAGTGAAAGTAATTTATGGTCTGACTGTACAGTCGGGGTCAAAAGTCTTGAACACTTAGCAATATCCAGCATCTACTTCTGAGTTATACATATATGATTGGTATATACTGTACTATTAACACTACTTGTCATCACATACAGGTAGTTCTGCTATAACGCGATAATTGTGTTCTTGTAAAATATCGTGTTATAGAAAATCGCGTAATAGAAATAACAGGGCTTATGGAGAAAATAGGGTTAGGTGCAGATTACTCGAAATCGAAAAAATTTAGTATTTAGCCTAACACAAAGGATAGCACAGTCTAAATAAATGTTACATTCATATCTAATAATGAAATCATACAGTAAATTTAACACTTTACCTTGAAAAAATATGAATGTAACTTGATGGGGGAGAAGGGTGATTTTGAGGTTGATAACATTGAGCTTCTCTTCAAGTGTTATATCCTTTCTTTTACGATAATCACCGGGAATTCTATCATCAGAGCGCCTTTTGGAGATATTCTTCTTTACCATATTCACAGTTAATACCACAAAATTGGAGAAATAGTAAGCAAAAATCGCGTTATAGCAAACAAGCGTTCGCGTTATACAAATATTGTTCCGAATTCATAAATCGCGTTAGAGCAAATTCGCGTTATCAAAACACGCGTTATAGCAGAACTCCCTGTATGCCTGAACCACAAAATGGGACAAAACTCTCCTTAATACCCAAGATCTTCGGGTACTTACATGCCAAATACTGTCAATTGTTCAAGACTTTTGACCCCAACTGTACAGTAGCTAAAACAACTCTCTGTGCATACTTTGTGGGAAACAATATGAGAACATGGACAATAAATGTTGGTATATGAGGGCTGTCACCAGTCACATGTAAAATTTCGGAGCATATCGACCCCCACCTGCACAGATAATTGTTTTAGCTACTGTACATATACAGAATCGTGTTCATTGATATATAGAAACAAGTTACCGATCAGAAATCAAAATGGTAAAAAACATACAGATGAATAAACAGCACCATACCATTACAGGGAGAGAAAGGCCCTACCAATTGGTAGTTCTTCAGGCACCATGTATAAAGTAGCAATTATAAAGAATCTGAGATACCTGACTATTTCCACAATGGTCCACTAGTAAATAGGCATGAAATATGGGTACAGTACCTTTATTTTATGCTGAACTCTATGTTTAATTCATGATTAATACATTATAACATGGAGATAATTTCCATGTTAATTCAAATATCACAAGGAGATATGAAGTAAGAATTTTAGGTGTAAACTAAGCTTCTTTACTGCAATCATTATAAACATTCCTGTGACATGGCATACAATTAATTCCAAATCCATGAACATAAAAGGAAAGTTCACAGTGTAAATAGAAAACTGTGCATAAAATAAGATAAATGACCAAAATATTCACAAAAATGAAGTAAGGGAGGTAAGAGTCATTGAGATGGGGAATTTAAATGCACAAGATGGTGAATGAGATGTGGAGGTGATTGTGGGGAATTATGGAATGCCAGAGGTGATTGGAAATACTGTAGAGAGAATGACAGAAGTGTATGTTGATAGAGGCTTACTACTGATGAATAAATAGGTTCAAAATAAAGAAAGAAATTTACTAGTATACATGGAGGCAGGTTAAATAGAGGATTGCTAAATTTTGAGTCTGTGGAACAATGAAGTGTAAGTTAACTCAAGTGAATGTATGACAAGAGGTTGTAGAGTAATAGTGAATAGAAGGTTTGGAGTGAGAGGCTCAAAGGAGTGAAAGGAGTGTTATAAAAGCTTTAAAACTCTTTTGGCATGTACCAAAGACAGAAGACACATTACTTTTATGGTAGCACTTTCTAGGTTCTCCTATACCAAGACTTTTATGCTTTACAAATATTTCAAGACCAGCTTAAGAGGTTAACATACCTCCACAGAATGAGGAAAAAAACTATGCAAGTTAAAAATTGACTTCAAGACAAGATCGACAGCAAAGGCTTCCTAAATAGGGCAGACTAAGGCACAATTGCATGATACAGGAGTAGTAATAGCAGTATGACTTGTATCTGGAAATTCTAAATAAAAAAATCCATCAAAAAGGACAGCAAAATCAAGTCTAGATTCATCAACCTAACATATCCTTGGAGATGTTTCCATACGGATCTGTTCTGTTTGTCGATTCTCGAAGACTACTCCTCAAAAAGCTTGTGCAGTATATAAGCCTCAAAATTGTGTTCTGGAATTCTGCAACACAGCAGAAATTGACAAATGACTACTGTACTTCCCACCTACATTCTGAGACAGGGACAGAACTTGAGCCAGCCCTCTAAGCTATGTGTTCCAAAGGAGAAGAAAAATCTCTCCTATTTGGTGTTTCACTACAAAAGGGGAAGGACTTCTGTTCTATAAAAGATGAATTATTCTTAAAGACCATCCCCTTGACTTCTTCACTTTTCTTGAGTAGTCTGCTACTCTGAGAGCCCTTTACCTTTTCTATACCTGTCAAGAAATGACCCAGAAGCTGATCACTGGGCCTGGAAATTGGGCTTTGTTCCAGTTCAAGGGAACAGAAAGGGTGCCAAAGAATGCATACCCTGTTCTGCCTTTAGCATGATATAACTGCTCTAAACTATCAATTTACCCTTGGTCAAACACAGTATCAGAAAAGTGTTTCTTACAGACTAAAGTCTACATGAAACCTAGCTAGAACATCAATTTGAGGTGCCACCCTAACCTATAAGAACCCCACGGCCAAATACTGCAGGTGTCCTCTGCCTGTGTCCACAGATCCTCAAGAGACCCAACCATAAGCTTAACCATAAGCTCAACAAAAGAAAACACACACAATAACGCTGACATTAAAGTTGTACAAGCTACCAAATTGGTTGAAGCCACATATTTGGTAATGCTCCTTGCAGCCAAACTGTGAGCTGGAATTTTTCATACAAGTGCCAGAACCTTCCAGACATTCAAACAAAGGCATAAACTCATCTTTCACAAAAGGTATAACAAACATCTGCTTAGATGGTATGTACTCAAATCTGGAAATCATATTGTGACACATTGGCAGAAGAAATATGGGTACAAAATCCTGGAGCATCACAGACCACCATTCCTATGATCTCTTCCCTTCCCACTATATCCCTAGTAATTTAGCCTTGACCTTACGGTAACAGTGTTTTCCACAGAAATTTAAAACAACAATTTAAAATCATATAGTGACTCTCGGCAGACAACAAATGTGGATTGAGATTTGTGCCTTCTTGAATATATTTCCAGTCTATTGCTATGAATGACTTCCATTTCCACTGTTTTGTCAGCTATAAGCTGGTCTTCAAATGATATCTTTATGGCACCATATTCATGACAACTTCAACAGCATCATCCAAAAGGTTCCAATTATCATCCTAGAATGATGACTATTAGGGTTAGTACTCAGGACAACACCAAACTGAATCCAGCAAAATAGACTTGCACCCTCGCTTAGAGCCAGTACAGTACAATATTTCCTTCAGGCCCAGCCTCAAGGAACTTATAAGAAATGGATAAATCCACTTACTTCTGTGATAAAAATGAATCCATTACTGGTATGAGCTTGCCTGAGTGTCATCATCTGCAAACATTGGGAAGGATTGCTGGCCCTTTTTAAAAATCACAGCAGCTGTTGATTTAACCCCACTATTTAAAATAGCAAGTGAATGTTGACTTGGGCAGATATAGGCTATTAAAACACTTTCAGTCCTTAAATGACAACCACTGCTATGTCCTACCTCATTTGAGGCCAACAACACAGGGGCAAGGGAAGGAGGATCAGTTTAACTAAAAGGATTAATTTATTAACCCAGACATGAGGGTTCTGTCCAGGTACTAAAGAATGAATGAATCAATCCATATAAAGAGAATTTTACACACAGACTACTTATCCTAAGGCAGGATAACAAGTCAAGCATTCCAGAAGAGGAACATTTGATATCCTATTTTAGGATATGTCCATAAAGGAACCTCAATATCATTCCAAAAGCTTTATGCGAGACCCCAGATTTGGGAAAAGCAAAGCTGATTTACATGCTGAGGAATACTGACACAACACTGAATAGTGCTGGTGCCTGGTTGCCAACCCACCACCATTTAGAAATACACATCAATGGGTTTGGCTCCTTCAAAAATGGGTGACTTTCACTCATTTCTTTGACACATATTCACCTTCTGGATGATTTTACACAGCTAATAGTATATTAGTTTTCTCTGACTATGTGACTTTTATTTTTTCAAGGATTTGGGATTATTTCTCACCAGGGAGAAGCTCGTCACATTCAACTGACTACAAGTTTATAATGGACACAATGAACAAGCCTAAGATACACTTTAAATTTTACCTGCAATAAAGCTGATCAGTGGTTCGTCATAGTTAGCTGATGTGTTTTAAAAATTGACAGAAACTTGTGATATACCATTATAATCTTTAATATTCTAAACATAGAGCCTAATTTGATTACAATTCAAAGGAGAAATGCTCTGTTGCAGTTGTAAGCTGTGTGGCGCACTTTTCAAACTCAGAAAAATACTAAAAATAAAAATAAAAATAAAAGCCCCTTTCTTCGTGGATTGTCTATTAAAAATATTCATATTACTAGATCTTTCAGACCTACTAAAATTTTAAGAAGAAAAAAAGAAGCCAGAAGGGCCTGTACTAGTGACAGGAACAACTTATTACCCTGGCTCCATTAAGAAATTTTTTTATGCTACCAAACTGAAGACATTGCAGGCCGAGCCACTGTATCAAACTTTATGCTGCCTTTCATATCCATCCAAAACTCCTGGTTGTTCACATGACACTATCTATTAAAAATCTTAGTAGTCAAACAGAGAGGGTATATGCTGGATAGTGTACCTTACGGCGGGACTCTGTGGTGTCCCGCTGGGTGGCCGGGCTGCGTGAACGTCGTCGTTTGCTAGACTTGCTCCTTACCGCACTGTGAGGACATGATAAATGACATCTTTTACACATACAGTACACTAAAATGAACAAAACTTAACATCAACTACAGTACATTCAATAAATTCAATCCTCATTATAAATTATCTGAAATAAAAGGAGATAAAAAAATAAAATTCAACAGTGATTCCAAAGTAAAATACATACAGTGATCCCTCGGTTAACAAACGCCTCGGTTAACGAAAATTCAGTTTACGAATTGCCTTCCATAAGATTCTTCACTTCGGTTAATGAAAAAATTTCGGTTAAAGAATTCCTTACGAATTTTTCCCAACATGTTTTCGCTTGCATTTGCCTGCTAACCAGCTGAAGTATTAGTCCGCCAATACAGTAATTGGTTCTAGGGCTTAAATTCGTTACCATTTTAGTAAATATCAAGAAGGTTGTACTATTCAATAATTTAAAAAGTTTAATATTAAATTTTTTAGTCATTTTAACAATTATTGAACATAAATGAAGTACAGGAAACTAGTTTTTTGCACGCCAAACAGCCACTCAACAAACCAAGCTTGGCGTCAGTTTGTTTATCGGTTCAGAAGAAGGAACATCTTGTTTGAGACTCTTCAACATAAATTATTGGTCATTCTGAAGTTTATTTTACATGTTGACAATATATAATGCAGTGCAGTGTTGATTTAAAGAAAATAATCATGAATTACACCAAGAGAACTAAAATTTTATAGGTGAAATGGCAGCATGGGGTGACTTCTCTTCCACCCCAATGCTTTCTCTTCTCTCTTCTCCTCCACCCCCACTTCCTTCTCTTCTCCCTTCTCCTCCTCCACCTCCCACTTCAAATTCACATCGGCATCATCATCCAGGAGCCTTCTACATACACACCTCAAAGTAAGTGTACTTTGCTGCATTTTTTTTTTACTTTAGGTAATTTTCGGTGAGCTGGAACCAATTAACCAAAAACACATTGAAACAATGATTTCGGTTAACGAACAACCTTCTGGAACAAATTGTGTTCGTTAACCGAGGGACCACTGTATTTTGTGAAAACTAAAAACCCATAAGTGTCTATTTTCTTTCTTTACGTTCCTTATTTTCTTCTTTCCCCATCAAGATAAAGTAAAATACAGTATAAACAAAACAAAGAAACAAGTTACATCACACTACACACCCTTTCCCACTGTCTGAGGAAGGATCATTATTTTATATACTGTACTGTACTGTATGGTATATAATCCAATTTGTTATTTCATTTATTTTTTTTTACATTTTTGTATCTAAACTTCAGGCAATTTTGAAGAAAAAACCCTTAGCTGTTTCTGAAAAATGATGAGCGGTAACATAAAACTGAAGCCTATACGGTAGTTCCTGGCAGTAAACCCATTATGGGAATAATTATGTACGTATGTCACAAACTGAATAGCTGTTATAAATATTTTCTGACAACATTCCTTACACAACTGGTATTAAAAGTGTCTTTATGCCTACTGCAGCAAAGTAATTAAAATAATACATATAAATGATAGAACTTGAAAAAAGGCCAGGGAAAACAACTCTTCACACGTGACAGAAGTGACTGAATCTTAAACACTTTCCACTAGCATCACTGATATCAATGATGTTCTGTACAATATTTTTCATTGTTTCAACAAGCTTGGGAGCCTTTAACCTCCTAGAAAAATGTTAAGTTTAATAAATCATATAAAAAGTTGTCTCTGTAAATAATTCACTAAAATATTTGATACAGAATAAGATTGGCTGCTTCTCAGAACAACCTTTGCATCTGATCTCCTCCATTTGGTTGAGACAGATAGGACGAGGCAATTAAGTCATCTAATACAGTACTGTACAGATTAAGCACTGCCATATAAAGTTTAAATCAGTGACTTAATACTCCCTAAAACTAAACAAGCACTAATATGAGTGCAAACTAACTTTTCGGTGTAGCTAGAAAACCATTTTCCTTTCCAATACCTTTTCATCTCCAAGTATTGTCAGTAAGTACCTAAGGTTGTCTGATTAGCAATGTACTTTACTCTATCCATAACAAATAAAAAAAATATGTGCACACTCGCCTGTCAGAGTCAGAGCTGGATGATGAAGACGCTGAAGAAGTGGATGATGAAGAGGAGGTGGAAGAGGAACGATGGCGCCTCTTTGACTTTTCTTTTTTCTTCTTCTTGTCCCGCTTCTTACGTTTCGGTGACTCGCTCCTGTAATGTGACATGTTTGGTGTTACAAAAGGACGACATAATGAATATTCTATGTCTCATACTCACCTTTGGTCAATAATAACCAAACACTCAAGAACAAGCAAACATGCACACTCAAGTACACGCATGTGCACTTAGCAGACACACGCTCTTACATGGACAACAATAATGAGTGACCCTACACAATGTTACTTTTGTTTTTGGGCTGACGTGAAGCTCATGGAATGCCACTGTGAAAGAAAAAGATCAACAGTACAGGACTCTCAGGTTAGATATTGATCTAATAATGATCCTAAATCTATCTTTAAAAAAAAAGGAAAAAAAAAATACATGATTCTATAAAAAAATGTCAACAAAATACACAATCTTGCTTCTATACTGCCACTGGAAAAATATTACATTGATTTATTAGAATATACTACTTGGAAATTTCCTTAATTCTGTTGTTACAAAAGATGATACAGTAATGTCAAAATAGAACAGTATGTGGAAGCAAGGTTTCTTCATAGAATCATGCTATACTTAAGGAGCATAAAAGATATGTCTCTAAAACATAAGACATAACTAAAAACAACTTATGGACAGAGAGGTAATGTGTCTCTGGGATGAGTTAGGATTGAATCAGTCAATGCTTAAGTAAAGAAAATTAAAGAAAACAAAACTCACTATAGTACAACACAAGCAAGGTGGTACCACTCTGTCCATCTGCCAAGTCATGCAGAGGAGGTCAAGCCACTGAACTTACCATCACCATACAGGACTTATACACTGTGCAATTACCTTGCCTATGTAACTGCATTCAATGACTGACACTGCTTGGTTATTGTGAACGCCTTAAAAAATATCAACTTATTTCACCACTGTACAACAACTCATTACAAATGCAAAAAGAGTATAGAGAATATAAAAATATTTTACAATACATATGGCAATATTATTATGAATTACGTCATTTAATGCATCTAAAAAAGGGAACTTTGTCTTTAATGTTAGTTTATAAGAATAATGAGACATGCCTCCACAATAACCTGAGCACAACACTGGTGGACCAAACTGTCTGTCTTTGTCGATACTAAAATTCTGACGGTAATTGAATGCTTAGTCACTTGGAAATATTGGCAAACATTGATGGTGAGTCGTGTGTTTTACCTTGCTTATTACCCTGGTAAAGGAAAGACTTGGCAAGGAAAAAATAAGAAGATATCACATCATTAGTGTGTACTTAGTATTTCACCACTTGCAGATAAAACACTTTGTAAATATATATATATATATTTATATATGTTTCATATATGTAATACATCACATGACAACACATCACATCCTTAGGGGTACATATTGATGGAAATAAACTTGATTACTTTGTAGTAGTCATGCATTATTAGCTCTAATTTTTACACAAGTTGTGGAAATATGCTAGGTAGGAAATTAAGACCGTATCACTTATTATCATGATGTGATATGGTAATGCTTTAATTACTGATGTGTGTCAAATTCAGCCTATGAATGTCTTTTACAATAATTGTACTGACAGAGACAAGCTGTCAAAAATTTTGTAATATATCAAATCTCCTAAGAACTGGAACCATAAGGTATCAATGTTAAAAGGCTAATATACTGAACAGATGCTTTATGCCAAGCAATAATTATCATTGTCCCATCATTCTAAAACTAAGAGCTCCATCCAGATGCTGCATCTGAGCTGGCAAGTACACTCCAACACAGCCCAACCCATAAGACACCCACTGCCTATATCTCAGAAATACTCTCATATCTTATATTTGCTACAAAACTTAAGTTGACATACAAAATAGATCAAGGAATACCTTACTACCAATTAAAAAAATACAAGCCAAAATTCTTAAAAAAAAAAAATGGATGTACATTGTATTTAAAAACAATCATACCATACAAGTCTTCCCAGCTGTTGCTTTGATGTCTTGAAAGTAAATCAGTGATGCCCTCAGACTGACCTAGACAGCTATTCAACTCAACATATCTAGCAGGTGAAGTGATCCTAAAGGTCTACACTAATATGCCTCTTTATCAGTTTCATGATATGGCCAGGACAAAATGTGTAGGTGAGAAGAAAAAGAATATAGCAAAAACGAGCAAAAACATCAAATCTACAAGAAGAATGGAAAATATCACAGAGAAATATAAAGCACTCATTACATGTATTCATTTATCATGCCCTTGATTCTTAGCAAAAAATGTTATTGGCACACAGTACACTATAACAAAAGAAGCACTAACACTGACAGTACAAATTATATGGGATTTAAAACAATAAACAATAGGATCTCTTGAAATCTGCTATAGGAGACCCATGCCATCTATATGACAACATTAAAGCAAGCAAACAGTGCTATCTATGTTTTTTGCAGAAATTCTGATGCATAAATACAGAAACATCCTAAAATTACCTATGATGAAGAAGCCTCATCTAGACTGACAGAATATTCCATTACTCAGGTTTAAGTTCAGCCAGGTAACTCTAGCTTGACCAGCACAACTACTGTACTGTATTTACCTTTGTGACCCTAATGTACTGTAATCCTCAAATGCTTACACTTCGGGCTGCTTACGATGAGAGGTAGAGTAAAGTATACTATTTTCCTCCATGTATTTTTTTAGTACAATACTTAACTTAAAACATGAAGCAGTAAAAATTATTTGCAACTACTGTTCTGTACTTCCTGTCCACATCTCACCATAAAGGAAGTTAACTCTACTGCAAGATAGAGTTCAGTTCCTGCTCTGTGTTTAATTACAGTGATATACAGGCACTCTCTAAGTTACAAAAAAGTTCTGTCCCCTGAAAATCCTTTTATATATAGGTTTTGTTATAAATTGGATCAAAAATTTTCAGACTCCCATTATAAAAGTTGAGAAACCCATGAAAAATCCCCATCTTAAAAGACGACAAAATATGTTTTTAATGACAATGGCTGGTGTACACAATGATTATAAGTTTATAACCCAATAATAAACATAACAAGAGAAATAAATGAAGTGAAGGACACAATAGTCACTGAGAAACTACAATGCAGTGTGAAGTTGCAAGGCTCAGCCAAGACATTTGGCTTTAATTTTGCAGTGACACACCAACAGTAAGTCTACTCCACTGTACTACTGTACAGTACAGTATGTGTATTTTGAAAAAATTTTCTTTCATTGGATTTGATTTTTGATGCGGTTTTATCTGAGGAAGAATGTTAAACTTACCGTATCCATTTAACATTTCATTCTTTCCATTGACATTAGATCAAATTCTGTGATACTAAACACACCAGTGTTCAAACAGTTACAATATCTTGAGGCAACATCTTACCACTGCTTCACATAACAATCCAGGATGACTAAAGCACTACCCTGTATATAACAATCCAGGATGACTAAAGCACTACCCTGTACAGTAAATACAGTAGTACAGCACTGTATACTGTACTGTACTGTATATTGTTTTTAGTTTATTTGTCTTTATAAACTGACCAGGTACCCAATGGGAATCCCTGAGATGACTGTGTTAGCACTTGAGCATTTTCTGATACTGCGAAAAATTACACAAAATTTTAAAGAAAATTTTGAAATTTCAAATTTTTTATACGTAAATTGAAACATAAGCCATTTTATTTTCTTCATAATTTCGGATTTTTGTAAATTGGGGACTGCCTGTATATGACATTCACATGAAAAATTAATTTGGTATCTGATATTGTTAATAATGAGGTACAAATGATGTCTATTGTATTTTGAAAAGAGTCTACACTTATACCACTTAGTCCTGTTTAGCAGAACTACAGAGCTGGTGCTATCAAGATTCAGGTTAGGAGAGACTCAAAAGAAATAGGCCCCAGTCTAACCTAACCATAAGACTAGGGCTTATGGGAATTGGGCCTATTAAAACTTAGGCCAACTCAAACTAAAGCTCATTAAAACTGAGGCCTAAGCCTAACAATTAAATAAGTTGGGATCTACCGTAAAATGACTAAAGCTCATTCAGCTAGTCACCTAAACATATCTACACCTAAACATATCTGAATCAGTATTTCATTTTTTAAGGGATCCATGATTAACATTAACAACAAATATAATTACAAATGAACCATAACATGAACCCAAGTTATAGATAACCAATGGCAGATGTGTCATACATGTTTATTCTCAGTGAGCTGCACATTACAGTTGCAACATAAGTTACATTAACTAAAATAGAGCTAAAGTTATTTTGTACAGTAAAATATAAATTAAAAAGGTTATAAAGAACAAAACCTAAAACAGAGTCGGGATTGAGAAAACTGAAACATTAAATGTTTTGTACCAAAGTAAATAGTCCAAATTTAAATTGCAATAAACCACCATTAAACTAGATTTCATTAAACTTGAAATCTTGATAATTTGAACAGTATATGCAGGATTGGCCCATTCCACTATAACTAGTTCATACCAACAACACATGGCCCATTTGGACTGTACAATACAGTACCAACAAAAATCAGAAAATACTGAAGTACGGTACTGTATAATGGATAAGAACAAGTACTTGTCCAGTCGAGTAGGTAAACACTTAACTGTTGAATCTTTACCAGGGATGTGGCTCACCCTGGGAATGATCAGTAAGCAGTCCTTGGTTTACCGATGTTCTCTACACATTACACTCTAAGAGACTGTACTGTGGTGCTATTGTTTCCCCCCCTTTTGTGTGCCCCCATTTCATTACCACAACAAATGGTGGTGGTGATACTGCATAATGAAAATGAGTATACAAACATACAACCATTTGTCCAATTCTGAAAACATGAAAATTATAAAGTGCCTTCAACTAGGATTTGGGTATACCACCAGATCTGCCCCTTCACACCCCTTCACACCCTGCATTTTGGCTCTAAGGGACATACCGAGTAAACTGGTTAAATCATATAAGTTTATGTTTATGTACAGTATTCTAATGTTATGTTGCAACAAGAAAATTGTTGTACATGTTAATTGGGATATAGTTACATAAAATAAGCCATAAATGTATAATTCAAGATAGCTGCAATTTACTCTATTTCAAGGTTTGTTGTACAACTGTTTGTGTTGAGCTTCTGTGTACTGAACATAAAATGCAATAGCTTGCATATTGTGCACTGTAGAGAAGCTACTGATCCCCACACCTCTATTCATATACTGTACTGTACTGTCACCATAGTACACTGTCTTCCACTAATGTCTCCCTTCCCAATACTGTACTGTACTGGATCATGGCTAATATCAATTATCTGTGAATACTGAAACTACCACCTGTATAATACTATACAGTATTACCCCGCCTAACGCGGTTTCACTTAACGCGTTTTATCATATACGCGGTGCCTCGCCAGAGCTGAACTTTCACTTAACACGGATTTTTTCCACATATGCGCGGTGAGTGTCCGGCTCGAGACGCTATTTTTAGATTTGCCCCACCCGCCACCCTGCCTGACTGCCTGTTTTAGCTCATAAAATTCATACAAATTACCCGGCCAGAATATAATTTACATTGCTGGAATTCTTATAATTTGGTGATCATTTTGAATATAAACATCATATATTTTGCATTAGACATACAAATTTTAGATACAAATTTTTCTCAGAGTAACTATGTTATCTTTTGTGCAAAATATATGACATTTATATTCAAAATATTCCTGGTCTTACAAGGAATCCAGCAATGTCAATTATATTATCCTAACTTTAGTTTGAGGTATTATTTATTAAAATTTAGTGGTTATCCCACACATCTCCTTGGGACGGTTGGTGGGGGGTGGGGGGGAGGGAGGGACCGACCGACCATCTGTTACCCCGTGAAGAATTATTTTTTTTTTTTATTAACTGAAGATATTTGTTTTAGCTCATAAAATTCATACAAATTACCCGGTCTGAATATAATTTACATTGCTGGAATTCTTATAATTTGATGATCATTTTGAATATAAACATCATATATTGTGCATTAGACATACAAATTTTAGATAAAAATTTTTCTCAAATTAACTATGTTATCTTTTGTTCAAAATATATGACATTTATATTCAAAATATTCCTGGTCTTACAAGGAATCCAGCAATGTCAATTATATTATCCTAACTTTAATCTGAGGTATTATTTAATACTAAATGTTAAAAACTCTGGAAGGGAGGATTGGTGGGGGGTGGGGGGGAGGGTTGGGACTGACCGCGCGGTTGGAAGAGGGGGGGAGGCAAGGTGGGGTACTTTGATTGACAGATAGTGTCGTGAAGATTATTTTTTTTTTTATTAACTGAAGATATTTGTTTTAGCTCATAAAATTCATACAAATTACCCGGTCAGAATATAATTTACATTGCTGGAATTCTTATAATTTGGTGATCATTTTGAATATAAACATCATATATTTTGCATTAAACATACAAATTTTAGATAAAAATTTTTCTCTAGGTAACTATGTTATCTTTTGTGCAAAATATATGACATTTATATTCAAAATATTCCTGGTCTTACAAGGAATCCAGCAATGTCAATTGTATTATCCTAACTTTAGTTTGAGGTATTATTTATTAAAATTTAGTGGTTTTCCCCCAAAAATTTCTCTGAGAGGGAAGAGCCGGCAGTGTAGTGTGAGAGAGGGGGAGGGAGTCGAGTCCATTATTTGAATGGACATTAACTTGGCGACTGTATTTCTCTATTTCTCTTAAGTATTAATTGTGTGCATGTACCATCATAAAATTAAGATGTTATTTTTACTACAACATAGGTATGTGCCTTCAAAAAGTGGAGTTTGGGGGTCGGGCCGGTTTCTATTGGAATTAATCCCATATGTTCTGTTGTTCACTTAACGCGGATTTCACTTAACGCGGGACCCTCTGGGTTCAATTGACCGCGTTAAGTGGGGTACAACTGTAGTTCAATAATCAACTTTTACAAATAAGCACAAAAAGAAATGATTTCATATCTCAAATAATTAACTTGAATTAATCAGCTATACAAAATATGTAAATTGTTTTCTTGAAAAGTACATTCAATTCACACAAATTTAAACTTGTATTATTTAACTTCACATAATGGATAATGCATATTAAACATGAACAAAACTCTGAATTACATTGCTGTAAGTGCTCTTAGCATGATATCACAGTGTTTAGGATTCACTAATAAATCCTATTTAAATAAAACTAATTTGGGGGAGCAGTCCAGATTCGATAAATTTTCTGGGAGTGTTTCCCAAGGTCAAATTAACAATATGCTTAAAGCCATAATATGAGTATTTTTAGTACACCTGTACTCTGCTACACACAGGTTCTACTAAACATTAAAAAGTAATTAAAGGGACAGAACATTAACATAAAAAAAAAGAAGTTTACCCATCTACACCCCCCTAGGGCCACAGTGTAGCAAGCGAAAGAATGGAAAGTTACATTTGTTGGGCTGATGCCTTGTGGTGGGTCAGGTGGTACTGTATTTGTATATCCAAATCAGAGAAGCTCTGTTATTTTCAGTTTACCAAAATGCTTGTATGCTTATGCACAACTACCAGACACACTCACAATGGTGATGAAATAAGTACCTGTAGTGCTATACATAATACATATGAACACAAACAGAAATATTACCATACTATACAATCTCTAGTGTGTACTGTAGTGTGTATGAAACATGAGTTAACAAAGGACAAGAAACACAGATACCTGTACTCCTACACCAAGAAACTTCCACGAACACATGTGACAATTAGATATGGCAGCGTAATAAAACTAGTATTTTACAATTTTTGGGGAAAGAATCTGCATAGATTATATGGCATTAGTATGAACTGACTATGTAGAGCCAAAAACCTTGCAAAAATTTTTTTTTATTCAGATGTTTCTCAAGGAAAAAAGGTAGATAGACCAGTTTGGATCTGGTTAACCAAATTTTTGGTTTAATGTGGATTTACAGTATTTTGAACCTACTTAGCGGGAAGTACACTAAAGTAAAGAAGTCTTACCTGATATCTGGATAAGAAAAAATAAGTCACAGGTCTACCCTGACCAACCATGTCACCCGCAAAGAGCAATTATTAAAATGAGTTATATTGAGTAAGATTTCTTACTTTACCTATATACAACACATATTGTCCTCCATGAAAATTAAAATTAAACTAAGTTATATAGCATTTACATTTCAAATATATTAATCAGTACCAATTAAACAAATGCTTAAACATCAATCCTTTTTACCACTTGGATCCTGGAGAGCAGTAAGAGGTCACACACAAATTTTGAATGAAATTATAAAGAATAATAAATACTCGGAGAAACAGATTTTCATTTCTCACAACCATGAGAGTATTGCAAAAATATTCTCATGACTTAGAAGCTTAGAGTTTAGAACTGTGTTGTGAGTGTAATACCTAGATTATGCAGGACAACTGGATGCCAGCTTATGACATGATGAAAAAAGTTATAATCAATAATTAACTGATGGCAAGTTCTTGTACTAGATTTCAATGTGACAGTCTCTAAGGTTGACCATTCATATCAAGACTTTCAAGTCAACTTTGAAAGCACAGTCAAGTCAAACTGCTGTATCAAGCATCAAATCTGACCCTAAGGAAGACTGGAAGGTTGCCAGATCCTGAAGAATGTTTGAAAACTTACCTGCTACGTTTGCTCTTCTTAGATTTATGTTTTTTACGAGACTCAGCACTTGAAGACCTGCAAAAGACCATAAAATAAAAGATCCAGAAGCAAGCCCTCACTAACTTGTATTGTTCTATGTTTTTATAAGATAAGGTTCATTACAGTAAGATATTAAAGTATACAGGAGTGCTTCGATTTATGAAAGGGATACGTTCCTGAAAAACCTTTTGTAAATCAAAGCCATTTTTCCCAAACACTACCATTATACAGAACAGTAAACCCTTGTTATTTGCGGGGGTTAGGGGTCAAGGAATAGACAAAACCACAAATGGCAACTTATACTACCTTAGTGCACTACTGTATACTTATTACACCAAACAATCAACCAGCCACAGCAGCACTCATCCCCTCTTTTAACTTATCTAATAATTCAACTTTCTTTGTCAGGGTCATCACTGACTTCTGCCTTTTACATTTCATTCCACTAGCATCACTAGCACTGACATTAGGCAGACTTTTAGGGGCCATTTCACACAGAAACACTAAAGTTTTGAGAGTACAACACGAGAGTGGGGTGACCCGTTGCGCTGCGGGAAAAGGCTTGCAAGCTAGCCACCATCTGCTTACCACAAACCCACAAATAGCAAGGGTCTACTGTATACAGGTACAGCAAAGGGAGATACATTCCTACAAAAAATGTCCCCCAAACATAAAAATACACATATTTAAGCCATTTAGGGGGGGAGAATAATTCTTCTAAGCCTATATATTATTCATAATACACTATCAAGTTTATTTAATCCATATTAGCAAAATAATAATAATAATAATAATAATAATAATAATAATAATAATAATAATAATAATAATAATAATAATAATAATAATAATAATAATAATAATAATAATAATAATAATAATAATAATAATAATAAAAATACAGGTTGACAACCCTTTATCTGAAATTCCAAAAACGAAAGTTTTTTTGGGGAGCTTTTTTTTTTTTTTTAACAGGGATTAGCCCACCGGGCATAGATCACTGACCCACATCAGGACCTGGGGGGCGATAATGTAATAGTAATAATAATTATAATAATAATAATTATTCATAGTAAATAACATTTTTAATAAAAATACACCAAAATAAAATAATATGATAACATTAATAATAATAATATATAATAATAAAAATAATAAAAATAACAATAATACAGGAGTATTGTAATAATAAAATAATAATAATAATAAAGAAATACAAGAATGAAAAAAAGATCAAAAGTGAGAAACACGACCTAGACCTATGAATTATTATTATTATTATTATAATTTTTATTATATCCCCAGATGTGGGTCTGTGGGTCAGAGATCTATGCCCGGGTGAGCTAATACACATTAAAAAAAAAAAAAAATTCTGAAAACAGAAAAATTCCGAAATCCGAAATTCCTCTGGCCCCAAGGATTTCGGATAAGGGACTGTCAACCTGTAATAATAATATTAATATTAATAATAATAATAATAAATGGTCTTTTGTTTATCAAAAGTGGCAGTTCTTCTAGAGAATTAACTTCATGGGCACATTTATTTGAACTACAGTACTGTACTTGTAACTACATGTGTTGATTCATGACACCCTGACCCCAAGCAGTATTTTCCTGCTCTTCTTTGCCTTACAGTACAGTAGTTGCTTGTTGTTGACCATCATCTGACATATTCATACAGTATTTCTAACCGCAAATGTTTTATGGTGTGTTTTCCAATGATTAAATGAGCAGCAATGCTAAGTACACTCTCACCACTCGAATCATTTTGTTCAATAGTTAGTACATTCTCTATTGCCTAAGTCTCTATCTTACCATCAAAAGAAGACAACTCTTAAGTATCAAAGGCCATGGCATCCACTTAGTAATGTTAATAAACCACAACAAGTGAAAAAATTATGCATTAGAAAGTCTGTTTGCCTGACATGCATAATTCATGTACTGTACTGTACTCTGAAGGGAAACACAACTGAGATTCACCCCATTGTATATCATCTCACTGCTGACTGGCTAGATAACATGACAAGACTGAAACACTTTAAATAATTTGTCATGAGCACCTTTACGTTATTCTTTACAAGTGGATAGTCTATTTTGAGCTGCAAGTAATTGAAAAACTATCATTAATACTCAGAGGTCCAAAAACTGTGCAGTAGTTACATTACAGCATACTGTAGTATACTTAAGAAATAAATGAATCTTAAGTCCACTGCATTAGTTATGAAAAAAGCTCCTTACCGGTCCCTGCTCCTCTTCTTCTTCTTTTTCTTATCCTTTTTCTCTTTCTTGGAGGAACGTTCAGGAGAGGGTGAGGGAGTGTGCACCCAACCGTACTTCTTGCCTGCCTCAGCCCCCAATCCCTCTGTTGTTGCCTTCTGTTTCTCCGCTGCAGCCCGAGCCAACTCTTCTTTAGCCCGTCTGTTTGGGTCTAGGGATGAACCCTCCACAAAGAACTCAGAAATGCCAAAGGCTTCCTTCAGACGTGAGTTCTTCTCCTGTTGTGCCTCAGCAACTGCATGAGTTTCTCGAACACTGAAAGAAGAAAACACAGCAAATTACTTGATATCATAACAGTGAATAAAACAAACAATAAACAATTACCTTAACCGATAATATTCACCAAATTTAAACAAAGTGTGATGAAGGTCAGTACACACTAGGAAACTTTGTTTAAAAATTTTGCTTGCAAATAGTTAGCAAACATTTATAAAACATTGTTTCTGAATTGTTTGCAAACAGTTAACAAACCATTTGTAAACTGTTTGCAAACAAAGTTTAGCATCCAGACTTCAGTTTTCTTCAGAATGTCAGTCAGTGAAGACAATGTGGCAGCAGCCAGTGCAATTTACATAGTGATGAATTAAGTGAAAAACAGGGTAAAGGCGAAAAGACATTGGTGGATGAGGAAGTTTTTATAAAAAGGAACATTTTATGGTGATATGCTTCTGGCAGAATTGAAACTGAAAGTTGGAAGTGGTTTCAGGAATTTTGTTCGAATGCCTCCCACTGATTTTGAAAACCTTTTACAAATGGTTGGTAAAAAAATATCGCGCTTAGGGATACAAAATATAAATCAGCAATTCCGACTTCGATCAGACTGACTATCACAATGAGATATTTGGTGACTGGAGATTCATTTACAAGTCTCATGTACACCTTTAAAGTATCAAAACAGACCATCTCCGAAGTAGTGCCTAAAGTCTGTGAAACTCTGATTTCTTCATTGAAAGAATATGTAAAGGTAGGTAAACGTAAAGTCCAAAAATAATCCATTCTCATTTTCCTAACACAAATCCGTAGTCTCAATGAGCTCTAAAGTCTTCTCAGTAGGCCACATGGTAACAGCTACTAAATGAACGGTGTTGACTGGCTGAAATTTTGAACTGAACTGCTATTCTCATGTCTGCAAACACATCCACACATGCATGGTTTTTTATTGTTTTCCATTCCAGATGGGAAACAGAAATTACCCTAATTTTGTTAGCAAACTGTTTGTGAACAGATTGCAAACAACTCACTAACAGTTTGCGGGCTACTTGAAAACATTGTTTGGAAACAGCAAACAGTTTGGTGTTTGCAAGCAAAATTTACAAAGTTTCCTAATCTGGACTAGCCTTAAGATGAAGACACAAGTCCCAATGAGACAAAACTTGTCTTTTCTACACTGACATTTACCAGTAGTTGTAGTGAGGAGTAGAGTGGCTCACATATAGTTGTATTGTACAATATCACCTACACAACTACAGTACTGTACAGTCAAACACAGAAAGTTATTCTTGTCATAAACTCTCTTCTTTGGCCACATTCACACGTTACTTATTGCTTAATTAACCCTTAAGCTTCAGGTTAGGGTGCTGGCTCAGGGCACCATTCTTGTTCGCTTTCATATTTTGTAAGGTGCCCCTAAAGACTCTTGAATTATTATTTTTTTTTTACTGTTTTGAATTTACTGTCTGTGAAGAATATCTAGCCTACAGTGTTATGGCATCTTATAAGACACTGAAAACCAATTTTCTGGGAATGTAACTGCATATTGTGCATTCCATTTGATTGTTCACTGAACCATAAATGGTGTTTTGTGAATGAACATTACAATAAGAATGGAACCAAGCTTCTTCTGGAAAAACAAAAACACGACATACATAACATTATCTTGTTATCTTACCAGCTTTAGGAGCCACTCACGTGAAGGCAGCCACCTCTCTATATACAGTACTGTACTACAATGTACTAGCTACAGTAACTGATGCAGTACATGAACTTTATCCTAAAACATTTACACTTCTTGACCACCTTCCTTGCACTTGAGTAAGAACAGTCAACTTGTTGTGATAGACATCTCGGACTGTTCTTGGCTTCTTTCCACTGCTCGTTATACATCTCCTCCAATTTCCCTGCTGTAATAACAACTGAATGACGCTCAGGGTTTTTTTCACCTTAACACTGCCTGCTTCTCTGAAATGTCTCACCAGTTTCCATACCACCAATTTACAGTAGACATTTATTATGGCTGCCAAAACGACATTGAAATCCATGCTGACACACTTTAAAAGCATCAATATTAATGTATTGTTCACCAATAAACACGTGTTCTTCCATGTTAAATACCACTACGAGACTGAGGGCATTTTTAAGTGTCTGAATGTGACACTGACCCTTAACCTTTTGATGCCATAATAAATTTGATTCTTTATTACCCCAGGAAGGACCCACACATCATGGCTGGTGAATGTACAAGCTCATCAACATAGGAAACACATACGTACAGAGAACCAAATTTGCTTAGAATGAGATGTGTTGCAGAAACTGGAACCATTAGCCCTCTGGCACACCCACACAGACAACATCACATCATGCCCGCCATTTGATGTCCAAGTATAAAAAACCATCATCGACCAGTGTGACAGATTTTTTTTCATTTCCTTGGACACCAGCTGCCAACCACCAGTCATCAGTGTAGAGTGAAACTATAATCAAGGTAGGTAAGTGTAACAATCAACTTATCTAATATACTACTGTATAGGAATAGCCGTGTGTCTGTCTGTCTGTCTGTTCTGGGCAGCCGAAACGCCACAATCGTTTTCATCAAACTTGGTGGAAAAATCGCAAAAAATTCGTAGAGTGGAACAAACCTGGTCCCATGTCGATGGTTTCTTTAGGAAGGCATTAATTAACCATTTTATTTACGCTGGAAAACGATGCAAGTCTACAGACCTGGCGCACCCTCATTCGCTGTACGCTGTCAGCCGGATGGCGAACCGGACACGAAGGGCCCGCGATCACGTGTCTCCCACTAAACTGAGTCTTGGTTACATACAGTACAGTAGAGTACAGTACAGTGCAATACAGTATAGTACAGTACTACGTGTTAACATTACTACTACAATATATCATTAAGTTAAAAAGACTAGTACTGTACATCATAGTTACTCATCTGTATATAACTTCATGATTATTTTATGATCATACCGTCAGTGATGTAAATAACCAAATAATTTTCCTCTATGTAATACTGCACTGTACATCAATATGTACTGTATTTACTGTACAAGTACATTTTTGCTGCTACTATACTGAAGTGACTGCTGACAGGTGATAGTAGCATTTATGAATTATTGTACACTCTCGTTCAAGATTCTTCGAACAATGCTGGAGACAGCTGGCAACTCAAGGCCGTTTGTTTACAATAGTACGTAGGACTGTATAATAAAATATGAAACAACATAGCCCAACCATTAATTAAGCAATGGGGAACTAAGTAACCAATTACCAATCAAATTTTACATTCATTCATAATTTTTACCATGTACTGTACTATAGTAAACAAATGGCCTTGAGTTGCCAGCCGTCTCCAGCAGCGTTCGAAGAATTTTGAACGAGACTGTACCAAAGTGCGGTCAAAAGAACTGACAATTTACATGCACTTCTGTTTAGCTTTTAATGTTGTGATACAAAAAATAGAATTTCATGATTAGGAAGAAAGTGACACCAAGCACTCATACATTGTACAGGGCAGTACTATTAAATTCCTGTGTAATTGAATCTGTATTTATTCCAAATTTGCATCTTTACTGCAACAAATACTATGACTTGAATGAAGAGCACTTTAGCTTTAATTTCAAAACAAACAAAATTTTTCACTGAACTACTGAGTACAATATTTACCATAACATTTAGTTCACACTAAATGTTAAATGTTAAGTTATATCACAACTACAGTACAGTACTGTACAGCACTATATTGTCACTTTGATTTGGTCTTAGACAAACAAACACAATGTGACAAGCAGTGAAAGTGAGTCTCATAAGCCTGACAGCCCATGCTAGGCAGTTAAGAGACAGCTCACTGTATACTGTACTGTACTATACTGTACTGTACTGTACAGTATGTGGCAGTGTGGCCTGCACAGCATTCCACCAATTTCACTTTTCCTACTACAAAATTCAGGTTCCTATTACATCTCTGGGTGAGCTAGAGTGTGGTAAGAAGGTGTATCCTGATCGACAATAAACCACAATATATCTGGGCATCCTCTAATAATCAGTAATATAATACAGTAAAATATGGTGAAGACAGATGGTTTGGTTTGGTCATAATCACAACAGCTCACATTAATCTGTACCTGATGGTAACATTATCTCAGCTTCCTCTTATTTCTAAACTTTTCTCTTCAAGGAGAAAAGTGATATGAGTTTACTCAAGTTGTCAACTACAACTAGAGATGAATGATGGAGTTAGCCCTGTCTTAGACCTTATCTTATGGGGTCCATGGGTGAAATGGTCGTTTTTTGTTGTTTGGATAATTTGGAACATAACCCACTATTTTCCCGTAGCAGCACAGCACTGTGGTTTAAGTACTAATCACAGTTTGGGGTGACAGTTATGAACCTAACCCAATAATCTACACATGTTTAGTGTACAGTACAGTAAACATAGGTAGACACAGCATAGTGTGACACACCTGAACCATTTGTTGGTGTTCTTTGTTTTCTCATATACAGTACTGTACAGTACTGTACTATACTGTACTATACACCTCAATAATCCAACATTAATACAAATATTTCAGCAGGTGTGTAGTGCAGGACATGGCCTGCACCTGCTATATGGGAAAACAATTAACAGGTGTGTAATGCAGGACACCCCACACCTGTAATATGGGAATCAATTAACAGGTGTGTAGTGCAGGACACCCCACACCCGCAACATGGGAATCAATTAACAGGTGTGTAGTGCAGGACACCCCACACCTGCATTATGGGAATCAATTAACAGGTGTGTAGTACAGGACACCCCACACTTGTAATATGGGAGGACAATCAGCAGGACACGGCCCACACCTGTGTTTACTCGTGGTGACAAGAGAGGTAATCAGACCAGGTTGTTTGCTCACCACACAGGTCCGGCCAACCTGCCACTCTTATTACACACATTAACCCCCGAGCAAACACTACCTGCCGCACCACCTCCCCTCTGGCTCTGACTGACCTGATTACTAACATCTTCAGACAAATGTTCCTATATTTGGTGTGTTCCTTGATTTTCGGAGAAGCTTTATTTTTCGTGTTCCTTGATTTTCGGGGATGCCTTGATTTTCGTGCTACTTTATTTTCGTCTCATTTCTAGCCACAGCGAATCACTTAACCAAATGCGTGTGGTGTAACAACCCCTACTTTACCACAACTGTCAAAATCAATTATTATACCTAAATTCCCGCGACATGTGAATGAGTCTAAATATACAATCATAATACGAATATGTAAAAGTACATAAACAAGCCTTTTAGAAGTGTTGGTCTCCACTACTTAAGAAGATACTACTACACTTAACACCACTTCACATCTCGCCCTTATTTTACCATCAATAACTACTGTACTAACTACGCACTGCTATTCCAACAACTTGAACGGAGTCTTCATTTAAAGGTATCTGACCAAGGGTGGGGGAGGGGGGCAGGAGGGGAGGGAAGAGGAGGGGGGGTAACAATGGAGGGGAGGGGGGTAACAGATGGTGGGGAGGGGGGGTAAAAGATGGTGGGGATGGGGGAGAGGGAGGGAGGAGGGGGATACAGTAAAACTTACATACTACAGAGCCTTTATTAATACAGTACCACACACACTCAGGGAATTAACCATCATATCAACAACTACATTCTACACGTTACTCATCCACTCATATCCACACAACTAATATGGTGTATACAACAACACGTGGTGTACCGTGGTGACGTGGTGTACAGGTCGTGGTGTACAGGACGTGGTGTACAGGACGTGGTGTACCGTGGTGTACAGGTCGTGGTGTACAGGACGTGGTGTACAGGACGTGGTGTACAGGTCGTGGTGTACAGGACGTGGTGTACAGGACGTGGTGTACAGGTCGTGGTGTACAGGTCATTGTGTACAGGGCGTGGTGTACAGGTTATGATGTACAGGACGGGTGTACAGGTCATTGTGTACAGGACGTGGTGTACAGGTTATGATGTACAGGACAGGGCGTGGTGTACAGGGACGTACAGGTACAGTGTACAGTGTATCATATGTGACCTGGTACAGGTTGTGGTGTACAGGTTATGGTGTACAGGATACGGTGTACTTCTTGTTTTACAGGTCGTGGTGTACAGAATGTGGTGTACATAATGTGGTGTACTGGACCTGTTGTACAGGTTGTGTGCAGGACGTGGTTTAGTGTGTTCAGAACGTAGTGTAGCCGTGTGGACGTGTACCTGACCACAGAGCGCAGTGTTCGTCGGACGTGTGTGGTGGTGGTGGTAGTGGTGGTGGGAGGTGGGGCGGGGTTGCGACCTGACCATCCGCCTCTCCACTTCTTGCCACCTCTGCTGGTGCTGTTACTGCTGCTGCTCTGGTTGTTGTGGCCGTTATTGTTGTTGGCATTAACAATATTATTATTGTTTTTGCTGTTGTTATAAAACCGTCTCAATTTTTTGCGCTGTCTGTTGCGTCTGTTACGCCAGTTTCTGCGGGCGTAGTGTCCAAGGCTGAGGGCCGGGGAGCGTGGATGTGGGTAGTGCAGCGGGCGTTGGGGCGCGGGCGAGTCTCCAGTGGGTATAATAGCAGCAGGAGAGGGCGGGGCAGCGGCGGCTAGCTTGTGTAGGAGTGCCGTGTGTTGTGCCAGTAGGGAGGCTACTAGCTGCTGCCAGGGGCCTCCTCCGCCCACCACCCTTCCGCCCTTCACCTCCCCACCACCCACATCACCCACCGAACCAGTGGGTGTCGCCATGTGGCCCGCCCGCCACCACCAGACCCGCCTACCTTACACGTGTGGGGCCTCTTAAGAGGGTGGCAGCACGCGTGGTGTACACTAACTTATAATATATCAAGTGTCAGATAGAAGGTTGTACTCTACTGAGGCTCACTGCAGGCTAACACCAACCTCAGCTTACTCTAACACTCATTCTCCAGGGAAGAACCCACATGGGTGTGTGACCATGGTGGGTGTGAGCCGTGGTCGTGTACCCTGGACCGAGTGGTGGGTACGGGCAGTTCCTGGTTGAGGCGCGCCACTACAGTACGTGTAGTGTTGAGCTGGTGCGCGTGTGTGGGGTCAGTGACCATCAGAGATACAGGCAGGCTATCGTCGTCGTTCACACACTTGACACGCTAAACTTGACTCAGCGTTACAATTTGCTAACCTAAGTCCCAACTTGGGCAGGAAGGCTATGACTGGAAGACTTGGTTGCTGATATCAGCGAGAACTTAACCTACATCACATATATGGAAGACTTGGTTGTGTGGGTGTGGGGTGAAGGTTACATGTTGATTGTGGGTGTTGCGTTGAGTGGCGGGCACGGTGCAGGCACACCACGGTGACGGAGGCACACGACGGCGGCACTACCCAGGGCACCTGGGCTCTCCTGACACCTCACCCGCCCCGGCCACACCATCCTCCTTACACTCATGCCTCACGCTGCCCTTCTACTCCACTAGTGGCCCGCTGCCCGCTACACTCAGCCCTGCCTGCCCGCCGCTCTCTCGTACACTACACTACACTCATCGTGCAGGAGGCTGACGCTGAGGGTCAGATACAGTATCTTGTGTCAGGTCGTGATCCTTGTTGGTGTGTCAGCCACGCCAGTCAAGGCTAACACACCACTGCTCGCTACCCTCCGACTCACGCACTATCCACTTTCTACACTGGTATGGGTAGGCAGGGAGAGAGGGCGTGTACGCGACGGCGGGCTTGTACTGGCGTGCAGGCGTCCGTCGGTGGACGACGCGGGGGGGCGACTGTGGCGAGGTATTATCGCACCCTCTGCTCTCAGCTGCCATCCCCCCCGCCAGGCTCGGGTCCTGGTTCATAATCAATAGTGGCAGCCTCACGCATCTCTCTCTCTCTCTCCCTTAGCACCACCAACAACCTCGCCCTCTCCCCCTGTTCACACTCTTCTCTCAATATTAGCTAGACGGTTGGTGGAGGGCAGTAGTCCGAGCGTCATGCTGCACTACGTCTTAACATGACGGGCATGTGACGGGCATCACTGTCCCTCCCGCCCCCTCCTGCCGTCACGACTACACACACCTACCTCGGCCCCCTGGGACCCTCTTTTCCCAGGCCGTCGAGCACAATAGCGGAGCAAATCTGGTGGGTGATGGCACCCGACGGTCCCTGGCTCTCTCCTCCACTCCTACCTTTACCCTCACACACCGCACAGTGTTCACCAGTGTACCACCACCACGGTGACACACAGTGTTCACTAGTGTACCACCACCACGGTGACACACAGTGTTCACTAATGCACCACCATCACGATGACACACAGTGTTCACTAGTGCACCACCACCACGATGACACACAGTGTTCACTAGTGCACCACCACCACGGTGACACACAGTGTTCACTAGTGCACCACCACCACGATGACACACAGTGTTCACTAGTGCACCACCACCACGGTGACACACAGTGTTCACTAGTGCACCACCACCACGGTGACACACAGTGTTCACTAATGCACCACCACCACGATGACACACAGTGTTCACTAGTGCACCACCACCACGATGACACACAGTGTTCACTAGTGCACCACCACCACGGTGACACACAGTGTTCACTAGTGCACCACCACCACGATGACACACAGTGTTCACTAGTGCACCACCACCACGATGACACACAGTGTTCACTAGTGCACCACCACCACGGTGACACACAGTGTTCACTAATGTACCATCACCACGGTGACACACAGTGTTCACTAATGTACCATCATCACCACGGTGACACAGAGTGTTCACTAGTGCACCACCACCACGGTGACACATTACAGTGTCTACTTAATGTACCACCACCACGATGGCATATTTGTGTGTTCACTTCAGGCAATTCACCACGATGACACACAGTGTTCAATAGCGTAATTAATTACCACGGTGAGACACACAGTGTTCACCAGTGTATCACCACCACGGTGACACACAGTGTTCACTAGTGCACCACCACCACGATGACACACAGTGTTCACTAGTGCACCACCACCACGATGACACACAGTGTTCACTAGTGCACCACCATCACGGAGACACACAGTGTTCACTAATGTACCATCACCACGGTGACACACAGTGTTCACTAATGTACCATCACCACGGTGACACACAGTGTTCACTAGTGCACCACCACAACAGTGACACACAGTGTTCACTAATGTACCATCACCACGGTGACACACGAGGTGTTCACTAATTGCACCACCACCACGATGACACAGTGTTCACTGGTGCACCACCACCACGATGACACACAGTGTTCACTGGTCACCACCACCACGATGACACACAGTGTTCACTGGTGCACCACCATCACGGAGACACACGGTGTTCACTATTGTACCATCACCACGGTGACGCACAGTGTTCATAATTGCACCACCACAACAGTGACACACAGTGTTCACTAATGTACCACCATCACCACGGTGACACACGAGTGTTCACTAATGTACCACCACCACGGTGACACACAGTGTTCACTAGTGCACCACCACCGCGGTGACACACAGTGTTCACTGGTGCACCACCACCACGGTGACACACAGTGTTCACTAATGTACCATCACCACGGTGACACACAGTGTTCACTGGTGCACCACCACCACCGGTGACACACAGTGTTCACTGGTGCACCACCACCACGGTGACACACAGTGTTCACTATTATGCCATCACCACGGAGACACAGTGTTCACTGGTGCACCACCACCACGGTGACACACAGTGTTCACTAGTGCACCACCACAACAGTGACACACAGTGTTCACTAATGTACCATCACCACGGTGACACTGTGTTCACTAGTGCACCACCACCACGGTGACACACAGTGTTCACTAGTGCACCACCACCACGGTGACACACAGTGTTCACTAGTGTACCATCACCACGGTGACACAGTGTTCGCTAGTGCACCACCACACACCCTGACCTTCAGTGTTCACCCTACAGTATACCTCCTCCTTCATATATCCTCCAAGTCCCACGTCAGGTCCTCTCCAAAGGTCCTTAGTAAGGTCCCCAGCCAAGGTCCTCCCTCAGGACCATAGACAGGTCCCCTCAACTGGTATACACTTAGGATCCCTTTCCAGGTTATCTGGTGGTCCTCTCCGTCTATTACCATCCAGGTCTACTAAACGGGTCATCAACCACACACCCCACAGGTCATCAACCACACACACCCCACAGGTCATCAACCACACACCCACATCATCAACCACACACCCCACAGGTCATCAACCACACACACCCCACAGTCATCACCACCAACACACACACACACCACAGGTCATCACAAACACACACACACCCCACAGGCATCCCACACCCCCACAGGTCATCAACCACACACACCCCACAGATCATCAAACCACACACACACACCACAGTCATCAACCAAACACACCCACAGATCATCAACCACATACACACACACACCCACAGATCATCAACCACACAGACACACACCCCACAAGTCACAAGCGCCCACCCAGGTCATCAACCACACACACCCCACAGGTCATCAACCACACACACATCATCAACCACACCCACAGGTCATCAACCACACACACCCCACAGGTCATCAACCACACACAAACACACCCACAAGTCATCAACCACACACACCCCACAGGTCATCAACCACACACAAACACACCCACAAGTCATCAACCACACACACCCCACAGGTCATCAACCACACACATGTCAGTGGTTGACCTAAACGGTTAAAAAAACAGTCACAATTTTGGCTAGGGAAAATGTTACAACTTATCTAAATACAGTGCCATTAACAAGTTAGGTCGGGTCGGGTCTGGTTTTTAAATTCTTCTAACTAAGCCTCACTTAACCTAACCCTCATCTGTCTCTAGGTATACGCTGTCACTTTTCCTTAACCTTTTTTCCTATGAATTTCTTCCCATGACTTTTTCCCTGTAACTTTTTTCCTACAATCAACTCGAGTATAAAAATAAACCCCCATATTATTCCGATGCCTCTACCTTCCACTCAACACGAGGGGACAAAAATGAAGACAAAATAAAAATGAAAAACAAACAAACACATAATCCTCTTTCACCATTTTACGTTAATTAAACAAGTCAGGTTTACAGCTGTGGGGGTTAATATTCCCTGAACACCTGGCAATAAGTGGCATCTCCTGGGTCATATAAAAGCATTAGTTTATATATATATATATATATATATATATATAAATATATATATATATATATATATATATATATATATATATATATATATATATATATATATATATATCTGATAACCACAAGGAAAGAAAGAAAACACGAAGTTCCCAAGAGCTTTCTTGTAATTCACATCTTCAGGGGCGGGTACAGACTAAAGTACAAAACAAGGTGTATACTGTATATACAGAGGAGGGTGAGACCAGGTCCACAATGGTCAGGTATTAGGTAATGACCCTACTAATCTTTAAATAGCTCGGCAACGGTCGGTAGTCAGGTCAGAGGGTAAGGTGACCCAACCTTCTCACCAGGTTACAAATCTTCTTAATTACAAAATTGTCCAGTTTGTACATACCTAATACCTGACCATTGTGGACCTGGTCTCACCTCCTCTGTATATACAGTATACACTATGACCCTGTGATAATTACCAGCGCTTTAAGTGTTTTCTTCCTTTGTGGTTATCAGCATATACCTGGATCACCGCAACTACAGTGATTTACTTGCATGCATATATATATATATATATATATATATATATATATATATATATATATATATATATATATATATATATATATATATATATATATATATATATATATATATATAATGCCCTTTTCATCACATTATATCGTAGGAGAGAGAGAGTGATGGTTAAAACAAGTGTGTGGGAGAGGTGGAGAGGGGGAGGGTAGGTGGAAAGGGAAGAGGAGAAGGGTAGGTTGAAGGGGGAGGGGAGGGGGGAAAAGGGGGCATATAGAGCCCAGCCAGAGAGCAGTGTGACAGGTGGAGGAGCGACTGTGTGATGGTTGAGGCCACGGTAATGCCGGATCATCCCTCACATTTGTTTCTCTCCCACAGCCCTCTCTCACCACCTCCCTCCCTCTCTCGCTGTCGTCTTTTCCATCTTCTCTCTCCTACATCCCTCCCCCTCTTTCCCAATCTCTTCCTTCCTTCCCTCCCTCTATCTCGTCTTTTCCATCTTCTCCCTTCCTCCTGTCTCTTTAACACCCTCCGTCCCTCCTTCACAGTCTCTCCAATCTCTTCCCTCCCTCCCTCCCTCCTTCCTTCCTTCCCCAGTCTCTCTTCCCATCTCTACTCCCCCCTCCCCACACAGTCACACCATCCCTAAGCTTTACTCACTCCTAATAGAAGTTATTTTATATTCACGAATCACCCCACAGCTCGCCTTCCCTCGGCCACAGTTTCATTTGTCCTTAACACAACTCTACCACACCCTTGGGAAAAATAAAATGTAAATAAAATAATAAAAGTCATAGGGATTAAGGAAGGTTTTTACGCTGAGGTTAAGAATGATATTGAGATTAAGGTGAGTTTACAGGTGACACCACTTCTGGGCCCCGTGTTATGTGTCTTGTGTAAACCACCACAACTCCTACCACCACCAAAACTACTAGTCACCCGTACTACTACCGCCACCATAACTACCACCCAAACACAACTACCACCACAACTACCACCACCAACCACCACAATTCCTCCATGAGAGCAGGCAGGCAGACACC